TGTCAATTGAGCTGTTCTCGTTAACAGCCTGAAAGAGCAGACAAACAGTATGTTGATGGAATTTGCATGTGAAACATAACCGGGAGCTTGAGAAAAAAATGAAAAAGAAGGTTGAAAAATTAGAATAATAGGCAGAATATAATCAAACAATGCTAAACAAGAAAAACAAATTATAACTCCAAATAAAATGTGGTACCAAGAATAGATACATTTCACGAAAACATAACAAATCACTTAGGCTTGACCCTTACAAAATGTAGATAAGCACTTAAAGATGCTTGTGTAATAGTATTTATCTTACTCTTAATTGAAAACGCATTAACAGGTACTTTACTTGATTTTGGTGTTTCCAGAGAAGGCAGAGTTGTAGAAACACCAATTTAGGCAACTGTTTAAAAGTTATGTAGCCAGACAAGCTACACAAAAATAGCCAGACCGATTAAGATACGTAGACAAAAGAGAAGCCAGTTGCCGGGAATAATTCAACGCTTCCCTCCCATCTCATCTTCAGGTAGAACTGCTCACCAAGATATGCTTACTCATAGACCTCCCATTAGCAAAATATGTTGATAACTGGAAGGAACTCAGAACAGAAACCTTAATGACTAGAAAGCTGGCAAAATTCTCTATACAAGCCTAATGAAAAAACTTACCTTAGAGTTTGATCATTTTAATAAAGTGAACTGAGATTTTTTCCATTGATTCCAGCATTTCAAAGATCAAACCTTATGTGCATATCTTGTAGGATATGACAGGCTTTAAATACTGGAAAAAATGTAAATTCTGAGTGAGGAGAAATAATTTTTAAGAGAATCACAAAAAATGAAACTACACAAACAATTTTAAAAATTGAAAATGTTATGGAATACATGAAAGCCTTCAACTGTGGAATAGCATTACTAGGGAAAAAAGTAGAATAGTTACCTTTCTCCGGGTAATACCTTTATTTACATTGTGGTCACTTAGATTTTAATATAATCTGTTAATTAATTTAAATCATTTATCATTATAACCTTTCATTGACTCTTAGTAAGATATTAAGAGGAAAAAAAAAGTTAGACTGGTTGCAGCTATCCTTCCCTTTTTTATTAGGTTTCTGGGAAAGCTGTTGTATTTTTCTGGGAAAGACAGAAGACATATTTCATATGTTTTAATGTGTTTGATGGACTTTGCCACTTCAGCATATGCATGGTACTCAAGAGATCATCTTGAAACTGGATTTTTCATGAAATTCTCCTTCTTGCAGAATTGGAAATTTAGATGAAACTTATCTGTCTTATCTATTTATCAACAGTTATATAACATAATTGACATACTCTAGGATGTAGACTGAGCTTCAAAGATTGCTATGTGCTCACATCCTTGTTCAAAGAGACTGAATTTCAATATCCCTCATTCTAGAGAAAAGCAGTTATCTGCCCTATTTGCCAAAGATACACAGGAAAGAGAGTCTGATGAATCTAGATATTATTGATGTCTAACGACAGTTTTCCTCAACAATACATGGCTTCAATTAACTTCAGCGATGTGACATCACATAACTGGTTTGTACTGTGAGACTAAGTTCCCTAGAGAATGTTTCCTGGCTCAGAAGCCAACTGGCATTTAATGGGAATTTTTCTATAATTAAACTCTTTTGCTCGTTCCCATTGCTATTTCTTTGTATTGTGATCAAATATTTTTTAAAAGAATATTAGAAGGAGCCAAAACAATAACAAGAAAAGTTGTAACAACTAAACAATGTAGACAAATATAAACAAATACTTGAGATCATGTACAGGATCATTTTTTAATTTGAGTATAGAAGTCGTATCTCTCTATACCCATGAGGGTAAATTAATTTTGAACAGGATGTGAACTCAGTAAGAGACTCCTAACCATCGCGATGTTCATTAGCTCACTACCTGACTGTTTTTAACCACTCCAGCAAGTTGTCTCCAGAAAAACTGGTGATGAGTGACCTGGCAATGAGAAGCATGAGTTTGAGCCAGTCTGATATGCCACTTCAGATTCAGGATAAATCCCTGGACTTTGTATATTTACTTGAATATATATGTATAATCTATGTACATTAAACATCTGAGTATATTAAGTAGCCAGGTTAGGAAAATTAGATCTCATTTCCACCTGTTCTCTCATCCTGCAAACAATCCAAAAGATGAAGTATGTATTCATCATCTCTTAATTCTCTAAATAGCAAAATCACAATTTGCCCTCAAAAGATGGATTCTTATTGAATTCAATCAAATGCCCTTAATTCTGATCAGGTACCAAATTAAAATAGTTTGCTGCTTAAATCCTTCATGATCATGGCTATTTTAAACTACCCTTTTTGCAAGAAGAATGGAAAAAATGTGGATGTAAGTGATGAACTGTTTATGCATTGAATAAAATTTCACCACCCAATATTCTTGACTATTACAATAATCTGGAAAGTCTTATGGGTTGGATTTATGTGGTGAGGTTTTGGTAGGGGGTGAAGGGGTAGCCTCTGAGAGAAGAGACCGGGACTGCCCTGTGCTCAACACAGCTCCAACAGACTCCTTGCAGTGCACAGCTGAGCTCATAAGTCAAGACGATGACACTTCAGGAAAAACACATTTAAAAGAGAGCAAATTACTGCATGGCAGCAGAGAGTGAGGAAAAAAAGAAGTGTGAGAAACAGCCAAGTCAAAGAAGAAAGAGAGGAGAAGGCACTTTAGGTGCCAGAGCAAACATTCTCCTTCAGCTCATGGAAGACGGCAAAGATGATGACTATGGAGCAGGTATCCACACTGCAGCCCACAGAGAGTATCACATCAGGGCAGATAACTACACTGCAGCCCACACTGGAGAAGGTGGATATTCCATGAAAGATTGAAGTCCATAAAAGAAACCATTCTGGAGTAGGATAAGTTTGAGGACAAAGGAGTGGAAGAAACAAACTCTTATGAACTGACCGCAACTCCCATTCCCCAATTCCCTACACCCCTCACGGTGAGGAGGAGGTAGAAGAGTCATGACTGAAGGAGTGAAATTGCATCTAGGATCAAATGAAGGAATATATTTTAGTTTGTTTCCCACCATACCACTATCTTTTTAATTGGCAATAAATTAAATAAATTGTAAAAGTGTATTCTACCCAGGATGGCAAGTTATAAGGGATCTCCCTGTTTCTATCTCAAACCCATAAGCTTTTGTTTATCTTATTTTCTTCCCTTGTGCTGCTGAGAAAGAGAAACAGGAGAGTTCTGGTTGGAGGTCTGTGAAGGTCAACTCATCAAAATTTTTTTACTCATGAACAGAATAATCTGTCCAATTTCTGAATGTTAGAGAGGCTTTTGTCTTTCTCCTAGAGATAGACTGATATCCTTCTCAGAATTCCTGAGAAGTTTTGCATTGTTTCAGTAAAAAAAAAATAATTAAAAAATGTCATGATGTCATGATCTCTACCTGGACACCAAAAATATATATAAATTTCATCTGTGCAGACAAGAGGATCAGAAAATTACTGTGACATCTTTCATGGCTTTTCTACCCCACATCTTTTCAAAGCTTTAGAGCTGTCCTTCAGAATTGACACAATACTTTTGGCAATGACACTTAAAAAACTGGATTATATGTTAACTTTACTAAAGTTAAAAAAATAAATCTGTCATTTGGCTGAAATATCAACATCATTTTTTTTGCTGAGTAAGCTCTGTTTAAAGTTAACCAAGATTTTTTAAAATAACGAATGAAAATAATTTGACCTTGTAGTTTCTGTCTTTCCTTGCCTGAATTTGGTTTACTTTATTTTAAATAACATTTTCAAAACACTGTAATTCAGTATGAATATGATTTTTTTGACAACTATCCCATTTTCATACAGTAAAAATAAACAAAAAATCCTATTCTGTTTGCATGCTCCTCACATTCAACCTCCTTAGAATTATTTTGTTCCTAAAAATGGAAAAGAATTGCTAATTAAATTTCTAGTGTTTCTTAGGAGAATAAGAATATATTATTTCTGGGTTTGTAGGGAAATAGTGTCTTCTATAATATGCAACCATGTGGTTAAAGTTTCTTAGAGGTCTCTCTATGTCCTGATCTCTGATCTCTCAATACTAAGCTGACAGAATAAATAAAATGTTATAAAAGCTATAAAACCAATATTATAAAAGTTATAACACCAAACAAAATGTTGACAGAGATCTAGGATTTTCTGTTTAGTTCACACTTTCTCTAACATAGAATTCAGACATCCCCCCTCCCACCCCCACTTCCATTTTCTAATAACGTTTGAATTAGAGAAGACTATATCCTGTACTATCCATAGGTATGGATGTAGAGTAGGAAGATATCATATGCACACACTGACACATGAAAACAGGCTGGATGTTTAAGTAAATATGCCTGAACCCCCAAAGACCATGAGTATTCGTTCTGAGGAAAAAAAATCATATTGAAAGGATGTTTTGATTCGTTCATACTTGAGAGTTCAGCTGTCTTTCTGTAAGTATAATCAATCTATATCAGAATATGCTCACCTTCCCTTCCACTAAAGAAAGGAGATTGAAATTTAACTTTCTGAAGGATTGTAGTTAATAATTTGATTTTTAGTTATAAATTTTGTTATACTCTTGCATTGCTTTTAATAATTTCTCAAACATGTATAGACTTTTCTGTTGATTTTGGAGGAGGTCTTCAAAAAGAAGGACATAGATTGAGTTGGAGTTGTTTAGGATTTATGTCTTTTTGTGGGTGCATTTTAATTTAAGCACTGTTTTAAGTGAAAAGTTTGTTTTAGTTTGTAGAAAGCTCAGATACGCTACAGAGTATCTTACATAAAACTGCAAATAATCTGAATGCTTCCTTATACAGCACATAGAGTGTTAAAAATTAGATCGATCATTGCACAATCTTCTACAACACTGAAAATTCATGACGTTTGTGGAAGATTTCAAAATCAGTGACAGAACTGGGCCAGGAAAATTAACAAATTAAGTGAAACAGTGATATTGATCAACTGCCATTTGATACTGGTGTCATAATTTAGAGACTGGTTGTAGCAGCTCAGCTGCTACATACTGCTTTGAAGTAATATGAAATGAATAATTACAAGGTATAAGGGAAAAAACCCTACCATATTCTGGTATGTATTTATATATATGTATTTAATCTTCTTGAACTGCTGCTACTATCTGAATAACTGCAAATTGTCTAAAAAATAATTTGCCTATAATGATTTATGAAGTCTCACAAAAACATGTGCGTTTTCTTATAAAAGTGTCTTATTTCTGATCTCTAATGTTTAAATAAGTATTAAAGAGAACATTTATTTATTATTTTAATGGAATGTAAGCATAACAAGGTCTTTTGATACATCCACTCCTCCACTCCCTTGTATCTACTAGCATTTTTAATGCACAAATCCTTTTGAGTATCTATTACCATCCTACTGCTAATATGCATTTAAATTTGCAGTGAAACAGTGTTAATTTGATTTTTGTACATAAGCAAATATGGTATTCTCTTGCAGCTTTTGTATATCTGCTTAACTGTCCTCAGCTTGTGTATTGATCTACTGCTAACAATACATAACATTCCAAAAACCTAAGTTGTTTCTTTTTTTTGGGGGGGGGGGCGGGTTGAGTGTTCTCATGTCTTGTTCAGTGCCAGCAAGACTTCTAGGAGTGTGCCTTCCATGAATGAAGATATATATGTCTTTATGCTGGGCATGAAACAGTGGGGCACAAAAGCCATGTAGTTACATTCAGTTGGAATTATGTTAACGTGATGTATAGCACAATCCAGAGTATCCTGGCCCTTCTGCCTAGAAGCAGGCATTTTATCTAGATGACAGGGCAAGGCAATCAGTTGTTTCATTATTTCTACCAACTTTTATCCAACTGGCTAGATATGGCCATAATGAGCATGTATCTGATTGTAAATGATGTAGCCATATCTTAGTTAACTATTGTATTCGTAGTCCAGAGAATTAAAAAATATGCTTTAAACACAGTCGTACTTTCTGCAAAGAAAAATATACATAGCATTCCAACCTCATCTTGAATTAATTTTAAATTCAATAATAGAATCATAGAATGGTTTGGGCTGGAAGGGACCTTTGAAGGTCATCTAGTACAGCCATCATGAAATAAACAGGGACATGTTCAACTAGGTCAGGTTGACCTGTTGAACATGATATTGAATGTTTCCAGGAATCGGTTTTTCTCTCTCACATTCCATAGTTGTTGTGTAATCAGTTGCTACAGATTTCACCAGTCTCTCCTCTAGCTCTTAAAGACTAGAACCTCTACAATAACAGATGGCCCTTAAACTTCATAAAATTATACTGATCTACCCCAGCCAAAGAAATGATCTGTGTCCTTCATTTATTTGTTGTTTCTCTCACTGCCTTGAGAAGGGCAGTACCTCATTCTTTCAGCATTCTCTTACTTTGAAAACTATTTAGAACTCAGCAACATAAAAAGCACAGATGACTGTTCTTTTTTAATATACTTCAAGATACAGAAACGTACAGGACAATTTCAGCTGAAACTATTTATTTTAAATTGATTAAGCATTAAACTGCAAACTATGATCTGGAAACAATACAAAAATTTGAGTATGCATATTCATTCTTTGACAGTCTTTGTTTATTATTTGTTTGTTTGTTTTTTTTCCCTGTTTTAGAAACAATTTGGTATGGACTAGAATTTTTTCTTAATTCTGTTGTGTCACAATGTTGCTAGACTTTGGCTAGATGTTTGTTTTAGATGCACTCAGAAAGACAGCTAGGCAGCATGAAATAAAAAGTTTGGTTTAGGCCTTTTTCCTGCTGTGTTTTTTTTTTCCTACAGATAGGAGTGAGACATTCATTTTGAAAGCTGTGAGTATGTAAGACGTAAAATATTACTGTCATATTTTTTAAGAGAATATTAAAGTGAGAGTTATATATCAGAAAGATTTCAAATTGGTTAAATTAGAGAGAGGATAGATTCTGAATATGCCCAGGTTGAGGTTATTCTATGTGATAAAAAAGCACAATAAAAATGTAAAGAAATTCTAGCACTGTGTAATCTCTGATGAAGAGATGAATGAACTACAAAACTGAACAAGCCTACTGAGACATCTTTGAGAAAAAGCTGTTGGAAAGCAATTTTGTTTGTGTCACATTTCTGACAAAGCAAAAATTGCACATTCATATGAAAGTGAAAGATCTGTTTTGGAACAGTAGTCTGCACTTTTAGGTCTATTTACATCCACTGCTGTAAACTACTTAGTAAAAGGAGAATGGTTCAGGAGGAAGAGAGGAAAGCATAAGTAAATAAATGCTTGACAAAGTGTAGGAACATAGTAAATTAGGATGAAAAAGGATGAACATAAAACCAATAAAAGTTGACAGAAATATGAAATTATAAGACAGAGAAGGAAGCAAAGAACAGGATAAAAACAAGAACAGTTACTACTGAATCATAGAATCGTTTGGGTTGGAAGGAAGAAGAAGATCATCCAGTTTAAACCCTCTGTCAGTACCTCACACTTGACCTTGTTGAAGTTTATGAGGCTCATACAAACTGCACCTGCCCTTCAAGCCTGTCATAGACTCATTCAACCATTTAGGTTCAAAAAAACCTTAAAGAAAATTAAGTCTAACCATTAAACCAGTCCTGCCAAGTTCATCACTAAACCTTACATCTACACATCTTTTAAATGTCTCCAGGCATGGTGACTCAACCACTTCCCCGGGGAACCTGTTCTAATGCTTTATAACCCTTTCTGTGAAGAAAATTTTTCTAATATCCAAACTAAATCTCCCCTGATGCAGCTTGAGGCCATTTCCTCTTGTCCTATCACTTATTTGGCAACTTCAAGTAGCTGTAGACAGCAATAAGGTCTCCTCTCAGCCTCCTCTTCTCCAGGCTGAACAACTCGAGCACCCCTGGCCACTCCTCATATGACTTACTCTCCACACCCTTCACCAGCTCTGTTGCTTTTCTCTTGACACGCTCCAGCAACTCAATGTCTTTCTTGAAGTGAGGGGCTCAGAACTGCACACAGTCCTTAAGGCGTACCCTCAGCAGTGCTGAGTACAGAGGAACAATCACTGCCCTGGTCCTGCTGGCCACATGATTTCTGATACAAGTCAGGATGCCACTGGTCCTCTTGGCCACCTGGGCACACTGATGTTCAGGCAGCTGCTGACCAACACTCCCAGGTTCTTTTCCGTTGGGCAACTTCCCAGGAACTCTGTAGCACTGCATGGGATTGCTGTGACCCAATTGTAAGGCCTGGCACTTGTCCTTCTTGCACCTCATGCCACTGGCCTTGGCCCATGGATAAAACCTGTCCAGATCCTTCCATGGAACCTTCCTACCTTCCAGCAGATAAACACTACCACTCAACTTGGTGTCATCTTCAAACTGATTGAGGGTGCACTTGATCCCCACTTCCAGGTCCTTGATAAGGTTATTAACAGAACTGGTCCTGATACTGACCCCTGGGGAACACCGCTTGGGACTGGCCACTGACTGGATGTAAATCAAATCACTACCACTTTTTGGGCTCAGCAATCCAACCAGTTTTTCACCCAGCAAAGAGTATACCCATCCAAGCCATGAGCAGCCAGTTTCTCCAGGATAATGGTGTGGAAATGGTGTCAAAACCTTTACGAAAATGTAGGTTGACATCAACATCTCTATGGATGGCATCCCTTCCATCTAACATACTAACTGCACCACTCAGCTCGGCAGTATCTGCAGACTTGCTGAGGGTTTACTCAGGCCCACTGCCTATGTCACTAGTAAAGGTATTGAACCATACCAGTCGCAATACAACTCCTGTATGACACTACTTACTACTACTCTCCATTTCATACAATCATTACCATCTTTTTGAGGGAAGATGCAGAAGCCCCTCAAAAGGCATTTCCTTGAAGCCTTGGTAGACTTGATTTTGACAGAAAATTATAGAGTAACTACTAATTTTTTGCTACTGTATTATTTTGTATTCTGCTAATATGAGTGTTGCGAATCAATTCCCTTGTTTTGTTTGATGAAGCAAAATAAATACAGTTTTCTGTATTAATCAGAAGACAGAAATGGGGGGCCTTTGTTGAGATTTCAGTTCTATTTTCTTGAGAAGGACCAACAGATTTTCTTCTTTGCTGTCCAAAACTACCCAGTCAACCATTTCAAACGGTTTGGTGATTACTAGGTAGCATGTCTGTCACTGATGCCTACAAGATATAAATATGACTAAATATCTGTTGGGTAACAGAGAATATCAATTAGAAAAATATAAGCGATCATCATGCAAGATGCAGTTATATCTCTGGTTGTGTATACATGCTAATGTGAAAAAAGATTAGTGGTTTATGTCCAAGATAAGTGAAAGTGATTGTCTCAGATCTGTGTCTTTAGAGACTAGTCCCATTCCCACAAATTTATTTTGAAGAAAGTGTTATTGTTCAGCAAGCCAAAAATGAGGTGAACTAATTGGGAACTGATGTAAGAATAAAGTTTTTAAAATAATCCAAGTTGAGCTATTTTAGTTGTGCACACCTCCATATTTCTTTATATAGTAGGGCAGATGCGCTTTTGGAGCCCAAAAGCGTTACCTGTTTTGATAGGTAACGCTAAATTTCCACAGACCTGCAGGGGAAAGGTGATGGAGAAAGGAGAAACATGATGAAGAAATAACTAAAAGGAGAAGGGGAAGAAGAAATCCATAACAAGCATTTAGGTTACTTTTCTTTACAGTCCTGGTGATTAAGTAGCATCTCTAATATAAACATTTTAAACTATATAATTGATTTAAACACATAATTTTATCACTGGTTTTAGTATTTTATTTGTCAATCTAAATTGAAGAGCACTGCATGCTTAAAACACTATACAGATAAAATTAACTTGTATGCTATTTAAAAAGCACAGTTGAGGAAGAAAAGATTATTGTGGCTGTAAGTATTGATAATGACATCTGATGTTTATAATTACAAGGACTAACACTAGCCTTCCAACAATAATAATAAGAATATACCACTACTGTACCAGACAACTCATGAAACTCATCATTACTTTACAGCTTGCCTGCAGGCAACAGTTTTCTTTATTATAAGAGTTAAGATATAAGTGAGATTAGATAAAGGTCAAAAGCACTCAGAATTTAATTATCTGGCTCAAATGTCACTGGTTTTAAAAGGATCAATGACCTTATTCCTTGTTGGATGTCATATATCATGCCACTTGGATAATCCCATCTAATTTTATGTGCTTGGTTTTGGTTTTTGAGACAGGATACAAAGAACATCATATGCTCTTTTTATTGAGAGAGGTTTCTTCAGGGAATTATTCTATCCCACTTAAAATCTGAATTTCTCTCTGGCAGATGTCACAGGATGACAAGACACACCAGCCACTGTCCACAAGTGGAAGGAAACATGGAGACAAACCCTGTGTTCACAAGCAGTAAAGTGCTGTATCAATAAACACAGACCTACAACAAGAAATTAGAACTAAGTAGGTTGATTGCTTTGCTTAGCTCTCCTCTTTTAACTTCCTCTATGGATAAACTTAATACTGAATTTCCTGTATTTGTAATGTATTGTTTTGAGAAAAATGTAATATCTTGATAATTTTTTTTAATAACCAAGAGAGTTGATATGTGCTGTCAGTCTTAATTTCATTATAATAATATTTTATGCTTGTATCATATTTAAATAATATACAATACATGCACATTTCTAATATATTTCCCCCCATATTTCAAATTTTTCAGCCTCTCAAGAAATACTGCATCAGACACTGACTTTCAGTGAGTTAAATGAAGATAAATAAAATTGTTCTATAAATCTGAATGATATAAAGGCTGTATAAGAGCAATATTTTGTAAAAGTGTGTACAGTAAAGTCAAAGTGAATGTAGAAGTTTCAGTTACAGTATTAAGAGATGGATGAATAATGCACAACCATGTAAGCAAAATATAACAATCTAATTAATTGTATATTGAATATTTAATACAAAAATCAAACATATTTTATCAAAATCATTCTTTTTATTCTTGTCTTTAAATAGAATATTTCTTTTGTAGTGATGACTAAATGTTCAGAAATAAACTACATAACACCGAGGTATTGTGCTACATTTAATGCTTTATGAGAAATTGATTAAAAAAATAATAAAATAATAATAAAAACAGGGGGAAGGGTTTAAAAGTGACCAGCTAGGTATAAATAGGTTGCTGGTTCATAAGCTTGTCTCACTAACTTCTGTGTTTGACCACTGCAGTCAGTGCTGCATTTTTATTGAATCTTTATTCTATCTTCTTCTCTCAGTGCACTCTCTGTTCTAAGTGGTGAAAACGAGCTAATTTCAAGCCAGACTAAACAGCAGGTAGGATTAGAGGTCTGAGTACCAAAACCAGGAGTGAGACTGCAAATCTGAGGGTCCTCTAGGTCTGGAAACCAACAACTGGAGGGGGACAAGGCCTGGAGCCAATACGTGGACAGCTTGAATATCTAAGCTACTTAATTGAAGATTAATCACCTTCAGTGCTCATCAGCTGGAGAGGAAGAAGAGGATCAGGTTGCATGGGCTGTTGTCTTCATGTAAGAGTTGTGTATTTATGTTAGGGCCAGTAAAGGCAATGTTTCCCATCTGTATGGCCAGTCATTTCTGCATTCTGTGTCTGCATCTATCCTGATGTTCAGTCTCTGGTTGGCTCTCTGGCTGGATCTGGGAACAAGGAACCACATCAGCCTCACTTCTACTGTGCTGGGAAAGGAGGACCACCCTCTAGCCCACCAAATTCAGCTACAAATTTCTGGTGGATATCACTGAGTTAAAATTAGGGATTTTTCTTTTTAAAAAATGTTGCCCTGAAAACAGAAAGTGTTTCCTCTTGGTACAAGTATACATTGGCTAATGCTTGCCATATAGAAGCAGACTGTCCCTGTCTGTTAGAAAAAGAGATTGTTGGATATGCAGAACTGGTGGGTAAGTCTGCTGCAAAAAAAAGTTTTTTTACCAAACATGAATCTTTCTATTTCTGATTAATCTCACTTGCAGACTGAATTTCATTCTGTGTTTTTGTAATATTCTAGCAGACTCTCTATTATGGGGTTATTTTCAGAGATTCATGCCATTTATTTTTTTTACTCAACATTTATTTTTTATTTTTACCTTAATAAAAGCTGGGAAAAGAACCAGAAATGCATTTCTTCTCAGCATATTGGAGACCAAAAAAAGAAAACAACCCTGAAAATTTAAAGGCTACAGGATGAAAATACCATATCCAGTAACTTCTGCTTCAGAGATTTTAGTGAATTTCACAATAGTATATCAATAAGAACACAACTGATTCTGAAAACTGTTTTCTTATTCTCTTTGAAATCTCCATCAAAACCCTCATAATTGATATCTCCTGCTTAGATTCACTACTGCAGTGACAGTCTTTATTCATTTAAATTAATTTAAGATAGCTATATAATAAACTGCCAATAACTGGCAGTTAATGTACATAGAAAGCATTTGTACTGTTTTATTGTCAGCATGATTCCTAACATCACTTTGCCATGAACAAACTGGCATGCTTCCAAGCAGTTTCCAAGTAGGGCTCTGGAGATACCATGAGCTAAAGAATAGTGGGTAATTTACACCGATCACTTTTTCAGATGCTTGTGATCCCATGCCAGTAGGTATTAGTGCCAGAGAACAGTCTCAAACATGTTCATTTGACTACTATAAATTTAGCCTTTAGTGTTATCACATTTCTCCATGCTGTCTCCTTTAGATCAGTGCAGCACACCATTCTCTGGTGCAGCATACCATTCTCAGGCTGCAGCATTCCCAGATAGATTTTTTCTGGAGTTGCACATGGTGGGAAAGACACAGTGCTGTATACATATCTTGAATCTTATCAGTAGCTGGGACAGTTGCACTGAAACTTCATGACGGTGTGATTTGTGTGGAGAGGAGGACATCTTAACAGGCAGAAGAGCGGCATGTGACACTGGAGTGTTTTACTAAGCTCTTCTTGGTATCCCTGCTGATGTCTTAATTAATTATTAGGCACTTTGTGACTAGATTTCAAGCTATCCTTAATAATCTAGTTCCAGTGGCTAGATTAATGTAAAAATGAGTATCAGATAGAAGCAGAAGGAAGATAAAATAGGATAAAATAGGCAAGGACAAAAATATAGACGTTTTATAGAAAGGTACATCAAGAGGAATGGCACAATAAAGAATATATACAGTAAAATGAATTTTTTGCCACAATGAAATGAATAGATATTTTACAGTAGACTTCAGTAATTCAATGTTTCTACTTGGACCACGTCACTCCAGGGTATAGGAAAGGACACTGCAATGAACCTACTACCTATCTGTAGCATCAAATGACCGTATGTGGCATATTTTTCTCCCACTCTCAAATTATATTGGGGTTATAAAATTACAGCAAACCAGTTTGTGGGTTACTTGTCCAGAAACAGGTATTTGTATGGAAACAGTTTCTAGTTTAATAGAATAGAGCAATTAATCATTATTCACTGTACTTTTTAATGCATAATTTCTAACTCCTAGACTCAATTAAATACCATGACCACCCACACCGGGACATACTTATAATTTACAAAATATCAATAAGAATATTAAGAGTGATTTTGTAAAATAAATAAATAGAAAACTCAAATGTAATTAAATACAATATAATAGATTATTTCAGTTGTGAGGGACCTGCAATGACCATCTAGTCCAACTGTCTGACTAGTTCAGGGCTCATCAAAAGTAAAAGCATAATATTAAAATCATTATCCAAATGTCTCTACAACAATGACAGGTCTAGGTCATTGACCATTACTCTAGGAAACCTGTTCCAATGTTTGACCTCCTTCTTGGTAAGGAAATATTTCTTAATGTCAAGACTAAAACTCCTTGGTGCATCATTAAACCATTCTCAGGTGTTGTATCACTGTATGCCAGGAAATATCCCAAATAAATAAGTAAACAAATAAATATTTAGTTCTCCTAAGGGAATTATATTTGAATTCTAAGCAAAAAATGTGAAGAAACTCTTTCAAGACGTGTAATGGAAAAGTGCACTTCAGCAAAACCAAAAAAATAGGGATCTAGTGATGTCTTTTCTAGCCTCCACATTATAGTTTTGTTCTGAAAGCTTACTGCTTTTTTGGCAGTATAACTTAAGAGACTTTTGACTTCTTTTTATATTTATATCTTCATCTTTATACCATGTCCCAAAGAGAGGAGAACTTTAGCAAATAAACACTACAGCTGGCAAATTACTCAAGTCTCTCTAGGGGTTTAAGAATAAAGTTATCATATACCTACAGAGCTTGTTATTTTAATATTTCATGCACTTCATTTACCTGACTTCTATATTTTCAATACATAGCCCCACAACAAAGTAGTTTCCTAAAAATGACCTTCCTGACTCCTAGGGACAAATATTAAACTGTTTTAAACACCTTTTTTGTAGAATCATAAGATAATTGAGGCTGAAAATGTAGCACTGCCATGTTCACCACTAAACCATGTTCTCCAAGTGTCACTTCCACACATTTTTTAAGCACCTCCAGGGATAATGATTCCACAGTTTCCTTGGACAGCTTGTTTCAATCTTTGATGCTACATGAAATAATCAGTAGTTATCATTATCTTTATCACGACTATGATTATTACTATTATTGTTCTCCTTATTAAAAATAGAAAATCTTAAAAAGACATTAAATGTTAATAGCAGTTAAAGCAGTGAAACAGAAAATGACTGTCACTCTGAAAGAATCAATACATGAAATTTGGTGTCCTAAAATATCCTGATCATTATTTATGTGACCTCATAGGTGTATGAAACATGTGACAGGCAAATAGAAATCACAGCAGCATTAGCAACACAAAAAATATGCACCTAGAGAGCAGAAGGTCATCATCTGTTTTTCCAGGCACTGATACAGATCTCTAATGATCCAATTCTACATCTCCATGCCTTGCTATCACTTGAAATCACAGACAGCTTGGTAGACAAAACATCTAAAATCCAATCAATATAACAATAGGATTAGGGGGTTTTTTTGTTTGTTTGTTTATTTAAATATTTTGTTACATGCCCTGAAAACTGATTTGAATAATCATGTTTCTCTTTGCAGCTGTTCTCTTTATCTCCCTCTCTGTTTGGAGACAATGACTTCAGTTGTCCAAAATAAGGAAGACACTATTCAGAACGATAGTTCCAACCACTGAATTAAGGACTGAATTAGTTATAAAATGTAGATATAAGAATCTGGTAAATTTTGAAAACATTTTTGATGACACTTAGTGATTCTCCTAGTGCACTTGATCCTTTTTCTTAAACAATCTTTTTGCCTTTCTTGCTGGTGAGTTTAAAGGAGGAATCTGAGAAAACCCTCTTTAGACTTTGAAAATATCTCCATTTGGTTCTTTGACCTTGGCTTTAATATAAGTTATCTATCACATAAGCTGAAGCTTACCTTCAGTAGAAAAGAGGTAAACCAAAGATCTGTGACTAGTCAAGCAAGAGAGACCAAAAGCACTGGTACGAGCACCTTCAAGTTTTTATTTCCATTTTGGAAATAAAACCTAACAATTTATTAAATTTCTTTATTGGAGCTGTCTCTAGTTAAAATAGACTGCATTAGTGGGGAGACAAATCTATGTTTATATTTCTGGGTATGCGTGTGTGTATGTGTGTATATATACAATTTAACTAATTTCTGATTGAACTCTGTTTATGTTGAGATGCATTGGTCATGGATACTTTTATTCATTAAAAAAAAATAGGTTTAAATTCTTAAAAGTTTGTTATGGTTTCTGTTTATGCAGGA